GTGGACAAGTCCGCGGCGGCGGAACGTGGAGAAGAAGAAGGATCAGAGCCAGACGTTCCTGTGGATTCAGACCTTTCTTACAATGTGCGAGAAGGGAACTATGATGAGCTGATTAGATTCACGAGGCGCACAGGTGAACCAGAACCAGAAGGTGGAGATGGAGATGGAGCTGGAGGAGCCGAACCAACCGAGACAGCAGAGCTGTCGCCAGAGATGCGTGCCATCCAACAGCGGGCAACAGCACTAGCGCAAGCTTCGTTCCTCAGCCCGCGGCCGCCAGCTTTAACGTGACCCTTGAGCCGACCGCGATTTTTGGAGGGGAGTTTTGACGCACAGGCACAGCGCAGCTTGAACTTCAAAGCAACCTTTTCCAAGCAGTTTGGATATGACATGGCTATGCTTTCCATTTTGCTGATATTATTTCTTTGCGACTTCAGATTCAACTGCACCAGCAGATGTACGTTTTCGCGTTTCAGGTTTCAAATGTGAGTGACTCTAGGTGCCAGGTGCCATGTAACACTTGAGATAGTTGCTTGGAGTTTTGGATTCAGGTCACAGCCAATTGAGCCATGATCATGTGTCGTATAGTATCAGTTCTTACCGGAAGGTCTTTTGGCTTTGCGAGCGAAAATAAGAGATTTGCTTGACAACTTAGTGAGGACACGCTGTCGGCCCTTTCAGGGGTAGGCTTGTCATGTTACAGCGACTTGACATATTGAACGAATTTAGGAATATGTTGAAAACACAAGACACAAAGCACAAGCTGTATATTACCTGATTTACTAAAGTTTGAACGTAAGCATAAATAAGTAATGCCAAAACCCGGTGATTCATTTGACTTGAGTTGTGACATGTAGGCGTTAGGCGCCCAACAAGAGGCGCAGGACCTGGGAGAGTAAAGTCACTTGAATTTTGACATTTGACATTGCCGCACCTTGGAAGACTGTCATTTGTCACTTCCTGGTTTTATCGCTTTGTTCAGTCATCCATTGGTTCATCAGCTCACGGCTCACAGCCACCTCCTTTTGCGCGGACCAAACTGTGAGATCATGGCAGTTTTTGTGTATTTTTGCGTATTTGCAGAAGGTTTAGCAGTCGGTCAGGTTTTGCCGCACCCTGTTTCTATTTTTTTCATCGCTTTGTTCAGCCGTACTTCCTTTCATCAACTTACAGCCACCTTCTTTTACATGGACCCAACTGTGAGTCACGCTGATTTACTCAATTTCACTTGATCCTGGCAGTTTTTTGTGTGTTTTTGCGTATATTTTAGGAGGATTAGCAGTCTTGTAAGGCTTTGCCACTTCTTGTTTTCCCAAATCCCAACTTGGGAGGGTGATTAGATTCAAAGAAACTGGCAGCCACACACTCATAGATACATGATTTGCTTTACAACTTAGTGAAAACATGCTGTCAGTCCTTCTCGGGGTAGGCTCGCGCAAATCATTATTTTGAACCCTTGAAAACCAAGCGTTTCGCTGAGGCGAAAACGCGACGGAAGAATAGTTTATGTGCGCCGCCATCATTTTCACACACTTGAAAACAAAGATTTGGACATCAAAAAACGCCGGGTTTTTGCATGATCGGACTTAAATCACCGAATTTGAGCGGACAAGCCGTGTGGGGGCGGCTGGACAACCGACGGCCTTGTTGTTGTTGTTGTTGCTGTTGCTGTTGCTGTTGCTGTTGCTGTTGCTGCTGCTTCTGCTCCTGCTGCTGCTGCTGCTGTTGTGCGTGTGCTTGCGCTTGTGCTTGTGCTTGTGCTTGTTCTTGTTCTTGTTGTTCTTGTTGTTGCTGTTGTTGGTGTTGCTGGTGTGGCTGGTGCTGCTGTTGTTGTTGTCGTTGTCGTTGTCATTGTTGTTGTTGCTGTTGCTGGTGTTGCTGGTGTTGCTGGTGTTGCTGGTGTTGCTGGTGTTGCTGGTGTTGCTGGTGTTGCCGGTGTTGGCGTGGTTGTGGTTGTGTGGTTGTGGTTGTGGTTGTGGTTGTCGTTGCAGTTGTGGTTGTGGTTCTTGTTCTTGTTGTTGTTGTTGTTGTTGTTGTTGTCGTCGTCGTCGTCGTCGTCGTTGTTGTTGTTGTTGTTGTTGGTGGTGGTGGTGGTGGTGGTGTTGGTGGTGTTGGTGGTGTTGGTGTTGTTGGTGTTGTTGGTGTTGTTGGTGTTGTTGGTGTTGTTGGTGTTGTTGGTGTTGTTGGTGTTGTTGGTGTTGTTGGTGTTGTTGGTGGTTGTTGTTGGTTGTTGTTGTTGTTGGTTGTTGTTGTTGTTGTTGTTGTTGTTGTTGTTGTTGTTGTTGGTTGTTGTTGTTGTTGTTGTTGGTTGTTGTTGGTGTTGTTGTTGTTGTTGTTGTTGTTGTTGTTGTTGTTGTTGTTGTTGTTGTTGTTGTTGTTGTTGTTGTTCTGTTGTTGTTGTTGTTGTTGTTGTTGTTGTTGTTGTTGTTGTTGTTGTGTGTGTGTTGTGTGTTGTTGTTGTTGTTGTTGTTGTTGTTGTTGTTGTTGTTGTTGTTGTTGTTGTTGTTGTTGTTGTTGTTGTTGTTGTGTTGTTGTTGGTGTTGTTGGTGTTGTTGGTGTTGTTGGTGTTGTTGGTGTTGTTGGTGTTGTTGGTGTTGTTGGTGTTGTTGGTGTTGTTGGTGTTGTTGGTGTTGTTGTTGTTGTTGTTGTTGTTGTTGTTGTTGTTGTTGTTGTTGTTGTTGTTGTTGTTGTTGTTCTTGTTGTTGGTGTTGGTGGTGGTGGTGGTGTTGTTGTTGGTGTTGTTGTTGGTGTTGTTGTTGGTGTTGTTGTTGGTGTTGTTGTTGGTGTTGTTGTTGGTGTTGTTGTTGTTGTTGTTTTTTGTTGTTGTTGTTGTTGTGGTTCTTGTTGTTCTTGTTGTTCTTGTTCTTCTTGTTCTTCTTATTGCTCTTGTTGTTCTTGTTCTTCTTCTTGCTCTTCATGTTCTTCTTGTTCTTGTTGTTCTTGTTGTTCTTCTTGTTCTTCTTGCTCTTCTTGTTTTCTTGTTCCCCGCCCGACAGGAAGGGGTTGTTAGATTTCATGTTGGAATCCGCGTTTGCGATGCTTCTACACCACGCCCCCGCCCAGTATCCTGCCAGAGCAGCTCGCCAGCGGATCCCGCCGGGTATTCCGCCAGAGCGGTTCGCCAGTGGATCCCGCCCAGTACCCCGCCAGAGCGGCTCGCCAGTGGATCCCGCCCAGTACCCCGCCAGAGCGGCTCGCGAGTGGATCCCGCTGAGTATCCCGCCAGAGCGGTTCGCCAGTGGATCCCGCTGAGTATCCCGCCAGAGCGGCTCACCAGTGGATCCCGCCAGAGCGGCTCGCCAGCGGATCCCGCCGAGTATCCCGCTCGCCAGTGGATCCCGCCAAGTATCCCGCTAGAGCGGCGTGCCGATCCCGTATCCCACCAGAGCAGCCCGCCACTGGATAACTCCAGTATCCCGCTGAGTATTCCAGAGAGTAGCTCGCCAGTGGATCCCGCCGAGTATCCCTCTGAGATCCCTTGCCGTTGGATCCTGCCAAGTATCTGGCCAGTATCAAGCCGGAGCGGCTCGCCAGTGGATCCCGCCAGTATCCCGCCAGAGCAGCTCGCCAGTCTGGAAAAGGGCCGATAGGAATTTGGAGTCGAAGTCTCTAGGATGCGAACGAATTTGCTGTAACGGTCGTAAGCTCGTGAGTGTGGAGGGTGCAGCCTGGTCTTCTCGTTCTTCTTGTTCTTCTTGCTCTTGTTCTTGCTCTTGTGGGGTGAGGGGGGTTTGAGGCTGGGGGGAGGGTTGAGGTTGGTGGGGGGTAAAAGGAGGTGGGGGGGGGAAGTTTGACGTTGGGTGGCTGTTGTTTGGCGGACAGGGCCGCTTGCGAGGGCTGTTTCGACCACCAGATCTTGGCACCCCTCAACAGGAATTCAAAAAACGAGTCGTTTCAGCAGTACTCTGAATTCTTCCACGTGGTTGTCCAAACCCGGGTGACGGCAAGGTGTGCTGCTTGAGGCTTTGGGCTCTTTCCTGTTCTGACACATGCCTCTTGGGGCGTTTGGGAGACTACGGTTTTGGTCCTCTTTGGGTGACCTCCACGCTGGCGATTGAAACTCGAAAAAGACTCGCATGGCGGATCTTCGCAAACGGATGCGCGGAAGTTGCAACGAGTCAGATGATAGTTGGAGTGGTTTAAGGAGAAAAAGGAACTGGTGGTTCCACATCTTAACACATCCTAGCACCCATATATTGACCATTTTGATGGCAGCATGACCTGCTGAACAAAAAATGGTTATGTGGTGTGTTCTACGGAATTTGAAGCATGTTATTTTTTACGGGTCGTATACGCAAATGACCGAGGGCATATACGGCCAAACACAGGGTTTGAACGAAACAACGGTCAATGCAGGGTGCACAATCTCCATGTCTGGGGCGTTTCCAGGGTTGTTATTTCATTTGGAACAAGCATAATTGGGGGACCCTTCAAACCAGCCAAAAGGAGATCCTTGAGTCCGTTTCAGAAGTAGACTTCAGTCGCATCCGCCCTCCCTGGGTCTTTTGCATGATAGCTTGCAGGAAACCGGGGCTTAGGTTTTACATGGCTCCCCCGGCTATAGCTGGAAGCCCTGGATTTGCCTCGGGGCTGTGAACTTGCGACTCACTTCGCGAGTTTTGTTCAGCCTCGAATCGCTCCAACCATCCCCCCATGAAAAGTCAGCCAGACTTCGCCAGTCCCCTGGGTTACCATTTGGCTACTTTTGATGGCCCAATCCGAGGTGAGAACTCTGCAAGACACAGTGGGACGCAAGCCCTCATAGAGGAGCCCTCTTGTTTGGCTTCAGGTTGCAGTGATCCATTTGTTTCCTTCGAGTTTTTGAGCACCTTTTCGCAATGTGGATCTTGTCGTTGGGTTGGGTGATGTTTTCCAGAAGACCGTTCCACGTTACAGGAGTCCATATATGTCGCTTGCGTTCTTAAGCACCTGTTGGTTGACAAAGCTGAATGGCGGGTGATCTGTTCAGGTCATAGGAACCCCGAACCCCCAATTTTGAGGCGCGGCTTCGACCTGCTGGGCCAAGTGATCTTCCTGGATAAGCCCTTCGTCAAGGCAGGTGAAGCGAATCGATGTTTTTCGGGATCCTATGTGTGTCTTTCTTTTGCGAGGGTACTAGTTTTTTGTGGTGGAAACCAACAAAAACAACCGCCATATTGGGGGGTCCCCTAAAAGCAAAACACTATCATATTTCCCTTTTGGATTGCTTCCCCTGTAATGCGAAAGGTGAGTTTCCCGATGTTGGATCAATTTGGCGACCAGGATTGTGCCAAATTCCAAGTTTTGAAATATTATTGTTTGTGATAACAAAAAGCCATAAATCCAACCATGCTTGCTTGGTGGCCACAGTTGAGGGTCAGCAATTCAACTTATCCCCATTCAAGCAGTTTTGTGGACAAAAAATGAGGTCATGTTCAGCCAGCGACATTCAGGGAAAATATGTCATACCCCTTATTGTTGTCTGGCTTTGGGGGGAGCGGAAACGTCTCTCAGAGAAAATCTATTAGCGGTTTACTGTGAACAGAGTGGTGTGGAGTCGGAGTACACTCTTCAATCAGTCAATGGGCGGTGAAACCTCGCCACATAATACCTGCATTTGGGGGCCCTGCTGAACATCGTAACTCCGCATAGTTCCTCCTGGTTTCATGTCGGTCCCCTTTCAATAACATGAACCCACGAAAATGGACCACAAAGCAACACCACGACGACAAACCCACCCAAAGGAAATCCACCAAGAGAGCACCAAAGAGGTGCGAGACTAAAACAAGCATGTTTCAATCCCGAAGGTGCTCCAATTGCATTGGAGTGTTTCGGGATCTTGACATTTTGGCTCTCCCTCCCGCAAGTTCAAAAGTTTAGAGAGTTCTAGTAAATGTTAGAGGCAGAGGAGAAAGATATGTTTGGACAACCAGACCCTGGTCGCATTTGAAGGAAACTGAAAGACGGTTGTTGGAGCAATTCGGGCAAATTCACAATGAGCTGGCCTGGGTGTCAAACAAGTTTACCCGTGATGAAGGTTCTTTGCTGGGGGGAAGGGGGGTAATTCAATGTAAATAATGTTGTTGACCGCACACTGGTTGGGATTGAGAAGATGACCTACAAAGTGCAATCATCCTGACAGAGCGGAGATGCCATTTGTTTTGAGAATGGAATTTGGGGAGCGCGGTTCCAACCATACTCCATTTCCGCCTGGGAAGACTAGACAGTGAAACCGGGGAACGTCCAACGTTCCTTGAGGCAGATGAGCCAAGCGGGCGGGCATTGTGCAAGTGACATCTTTGGGGAGAATAGGCCCGAGGGATTCAAGTTCTCGTGTTGATAGCGATCACTTGGATCCAAAGTGAGATTTCAGCTGTCGCTTGGTTTGCGTGTTTCACTGCCGTGCTTGACTCGCGGCGCAATGCGCCAGATTCAGCGGCTCATCACCTCCGACCTGTCCAGTTTGGTCGGGGCGCTAGTGCGGGTTGACCTCGCACGGATGCTTTGTAGGGTGTACTTGGTCTGGGGGCAAGTTGCTGTAAGTTGACATCCGGGTGAACAAAGACGAGTTGCCTTCTTTGTGGCCAATTAGCTAATCGGCTAAGTCCCGGGCCACCCAAGTAGCATTGACCACTGGAAGTGTTGAGCGCCACATCTACCTGTCCACCAACAATGATGATAATGATGGAAGCTGAGAGGAGGCTGTTGGAAGACTGCTTTCCTTTTGCGGAAGCCCGCTGTCCACTTTCACCCTTAATTTTGAACATCCCAGTGTAAGATGGACACCATGTGCACTGAAAAAGGCTGCGAAGGCAAAGCAGAAACGCAAGCGCAGGTGCCGATTGATACTGCCTTGCATTGGTTCATTTGTGTCAGGAACTTCTCACGGACCCATCTACTGTTGGCACATTCTGACATAGTTTCAGGGTGCCCAAGTCGGATTGCATCGAAATCGTGCCTGTGCCTGGAGCCAACCGGCATAATATCCTCGGCAGGTGGAAGCAAACTCTTGAAAGTTCTGCCTCCCAACTTCTGAGGGTTTTTGTATTACACTCTGGGATTACACCCTTGGGAAATGACCCAGAATGGTTCGGAATAACCAGGTTTTCTCCGGAAATGTGCCTAAATGGGGTCAATACTCAGTGGGTGTATCCCCAGGGTGTTATACAAAAACCCTTAGACAACCGCTTCGCCCGAGGCCGGCGAGTTCACGTTGTCCCCCACCATCCTCCTCCGCGCCTTGAACGAGTGGGAGACGGTGCAGGCCCTCGAGGAGGACGCCTGTGGCAGGTCGTTTTGCGCGCCTGACACTGGGTAGGAACATAAGTGTCCTTTTTGGTTGTTTTGGTTGAGAAATAGCCCTGGTTTACCTGGTGTTTGGTTTTTGGATGTTTTTGGCCCTGGTTTACCTGCACTGGTGGTTTAATCATCTACCAGGGAAACCCATCTATTTCCCCTAACAGGACACCTATGGGTAGGAAGCTCGGTGAGCCAACATTTTAGCTGTTCAACTTCTCACGGCTATGCTACAGACATTTTGTGTTGTTTCTTGGTCTGAAACAGCGGACCTGCGTGATCGCGATCGGCCGCACGGATCAAACAAATAAAATCTCGACTGTACTACAGACAAGATCAGGCGAACATAGTCGAACCTGGGCTGGCCAAAAGACTAAGCAGGGGAAGGACCACCCAGTGGCAACACCAAGTAAGTATGTTGGTCATGTTTGTGGAAGATGTCTTTGTGTTGGATGCCACTTCCGAGGAGAAGCCTAAGGGAATCCCCATGATCAAGTACTCAAAGGATGAGGAAGCACTTTGGGAGCACAGAAGTTGCAATGTTCCACAACCGGCAGCACCCTTGGCAGCTGTCCTTCTTGGTGGCTTTCCTTCAGGTTTCCCTCAGAAAAAGCTGTAAAGCGTCCCCCCCCCCCCCCCCCCACACGCCGACTCGCGCCAGCGAATCCGAGCGCCAGGATAGCGCGCTGGGGCGGCCGAGCAAGGACATCGCGCGGTGCTTGGCGCCAGTGCCGGGGGCCTAGCCACGTGAGGGGTACCCTTCAATTCCCATGGCGTCATCGTGATGGTTTCATCAAGACAGAATTTCACATTTGTCCACCCCATGATTTCAACTAAGACAAAATTGCACATGTTGAACCCAATTTGGGTTGCCCAAGGAGTGACCCCGTGTTTTCGTGACAACCCTTTGCTTTGACGCGGTCCTCTCAGGGAACTTAAGCGGACACAAGGAGTCCTATGTAGCAAGGGCGGAATCCATGCAATCAGTGTTAGCCACCCCAATTGGTTTGTTTCCAACTGGGATTTTGAACCCAAATGGGTGCGTTGTTTCTGTTTTGCTTCCCTTTCAACTGCTAAAAGCGAGGGCTTCCTCAGAAAAAGGAGGGCTATCAGTTTTATTGGCCCCCTCAAACATGCTTCCTGGTTGGACATAAATCCCCGTGCAAGTGATGTCGGAGTCCTAATGAAAAGTCACCTGCCCCCCCCCATACATTCACAGAGAGACGAATCAGCTTGGATAGAGCAGGAAGGGGACGGTTTTGCAGCCTGCATGGATTTTGGGATGCCTGCACCACGTCCCGGCTTCTTTGTTTTTTCCCCATGTTCATCAATCTTTATGTGTAAACCAGTTGTTATCGTTCCTGCTTTATTCAAATGTACAAAAAAAGGTATGAGCACCTTATTAAGTTGATGTCAACCTATAGCAATTCCTCATGATCGAACATTAAAACAAAATGCTGTGGCTTTGCTTTTTGGCCATTCCTCCTTTGGTTATGACAAGGGACCGCCTCCATTTGGACCCGCTTTTGGTCGGAACTTAAACTGCAATGAGACGGGGACCCATTTTTGCCAGCATTTTTTCGAAGGCCCTCCAACGGTGCACCTTGGCGCCCCCCCAACCCCCAATCTTGAGACCTGCCCATTGTTACGGATGCTGTTAGACCGTGAGGGCTGTTATTCAGGGAACCATGACCATCTGCGGACGACAGATCGACTCTCTTTCCATGGGCCAGTGGAATGATCTCAGTAATTCCATTTCCCGGTGGCAACCAAAGGAACCGTTTCTGAAAGCCAAAACGACAATGGCCGGTTTCCTGCTAATCAGGTGACCCTTAGTTCGTCGTTCAGATTGGCGGTTTGAGGATTGAACCCCCGGCTTTTGTGAAGGATAAGTGGGAAACTGCCCAACCTCCACAGCTCCAAACCACCCGGGCTCCGAAGCACTGGGGAAGCTGAAAAACATTGAGAATGCCGGAGTTCGAAGGGAAGCTCATCGGCAACCGTCATTTTTGTTGGCCCCCCCCTCCAAAAGACACCCGCGAGAGCCTCCCCCATAGTCTTGGGGAGCTCCCAGGACTTTGGAAAACTCGGTGAATTATTTACGGAGGCCTTTTCTGGAGCTTCCGTTGGTTCAGGCGTGTAACTGGGGATCCTCTCGGATCTGCCGCTCTGCCGCTCACTCGGGACTCGGGACGGGGGGGACCCGAGGTTTGCGCTGCCCTTCTTCCAGAGCAAAACCGCGGAGCTGGACACGCAGGCTCGATGGCGGGTCGCAACCATTGGTGTCCTTTTTGGTTGTTTTGCTAGAAAAATAGATGGCGATTCCTGGTTTACCTGGTGGTTTAATCATCCACCAGGGAAACCCATCTATTTTCCCTAAATGACAGCTATGATCGCAACCCCTTCAAAAAGTCAACCGAGGCTTAGCTTGCCTTTGTGGCTTCGTGTCTTTTTTGGAGGCTAGCCCTGGGTTGGTCATTGAAAAGGAAAACCAGAAGAAGAACCATAATTTGTTTGTGATACGCCGCTCTGTTACTATTCTGCCAGGGTTGAGAGCCACCTCTAGTCCGTCCTAGCTTGGTCGGGACCCGCTTAAGATGGTCCTTTGCGTGAGAACGGATTGGCTTTTTGGCAGGGCAACTAGAAAACTTGTCAAACATGTCGGCGGGTCTCCCTAGAAACTCCGTTGTTTCGGTTCCTGAAATAGTCACAGGGTAGCCCGAGAAAACATAGTTTCCATTGTCCCCTGTGCCAATTCAATTTTGGTGATGTTAAGTGTATTGTAGGGAACCTGGGCCCAAATCAAAAACTTAGAGCTGCTGCCGGTGCAATTGCCTGCGGGAGGATATTCGTTGGGGCGAGTCAAACAAGGGGTTAGGGGTGATTCCACGCCATGGGGCCGATCTCTTCGAAGATCCGGGCACGGCGTACCACGGCTCGCCGTAGACTCGAAAGAGCCAGCCGCGGACAGAGCCGAGGGGTTTGCAATAGAAGACCTGCAGCAGCACGCACAGTGCAGGCTGCTGCTCAGTTGCTGCAATGAGTGGAGAGCGCACCGGGAGCTAGAGTGAAGGAGGTGCATAGGTGGACATGACCCCAGTTTTTGACTCCCCCTACTTGGATTTACCAGTGCTTTCACTTGGAAAGATGACTATATACATGGCTACGAAGGAAGTCCCACTTATCAACCACTTATTGCCATGGTTGCCTGTTTGCTCTTTCCTGCCGTTGTCAAGAAAGATCCAACCATAGGTAAACACACTCGAAATCGGTTTGTCTAAAAACTGGACCCCGCCCCCCAATGGCCTATATCCAGTGGACTTCTGTTTAAAGCAACCCCTGGAAAGGGTACCGACTTCCGCAAAACGTGCTGCCCGCCCCCTAAGTATGCTGTGGAATTGTGTTGAAGGCAAAACCCGTATCCATCCATCCATACATACGTACATTCATGCCTGCATGCATCCATCTATGCAGTAATGCATGCATTCAGTCATTTAATGTCATGCCATTTCATGTCATGTCATATTTCATGTATTTTCATGTTATGTCATTTCATGCCTTCCTTCATTCCTTCCTTCCTTCCTTCATTCATTCATTCAGTCATTCAGTGATTCAGTCATTCATTCATTCATTCATTCATTCATTCATTCATTTATTCATTCATTAACTCATTAGCTCATTAACTCATTAACTAATTCATTCGTCAACTAATTCATTCATTCGTATTCGATAGGCAATTTACCGAGGGGCGAGGTCGGATTCGGATGTGAGAATGTGAGCTTAAGCCTTGAAGGTGGCCTACCACACGCGCTTCACGATGGAGTTCCTCTACAAGGCAGCCAGAGAAACTGTATATACTCCCTTCTTTTTTGTTGTTTGTTTTTTTGTTTTGCGGGCCGCCTTAAGTTGTGTTGAGGGGTTGTGGTGGTTTAGGGGTAGTGAAAACCGTTCCCCTACCTTTTTGGTTTGGGCGCGGGGATGGGTGTGGGAGGGGCGTGCAGCGCCACAGAACTGCGAAGCGCCCCTAGTTGATTTCCTGCCTGGGTGCAAGCTGATGACCAGCTTTTGGTTTTGGAAGTCCAGTATTCAAGGCCCGTATTTTCAAAATTAACATTAGCAATATGCCAAGTAGGAAGGTCCTCAGGAATTTGGGGAACCCCCTTTTTGGGTCCCTGGGTTCCATGTTGACTTTGCCAGGGCAGGATTCGCTCCCAAATAGGCTCGGGCGGGCGAGCCGATCTTTGTCTCTCGCGAGGAAGGGCTCATCGAAAGAGACGGCACCACCAGGCCAGGGCCTTGGATCGAGATCCTAAGACTTGCCTAAAGCGAATGCGCCCCTTTGACCTTTTAGGTTCCACTTTTTTGGAGCCATTGTAGTCATGGCCCCAAAAGGTCAACCTTTTATTTCTGGGTTCTTTGGTCAAATGAGTAGGCAACCAAGGGCATGCTGAACTTGTCGACCAGAAAAGGATGCGTCTGTTCGGAGGGCCTGACCTCCATCTCTGGGAGGGGTTCAGGCAGACCCAGTTTGCTCACTGGCTCACTGGCACCCACTAAGCTTCTCCACTACACTTGGCCTTTGCCCGAAAACAAACATATGTTTCCTTTGGCATTTCTTTCAAGCAACCAAAAGGGGTCAACATTTTGCAACCACCTCCATATTGCCCCTGAGTGATTAGGCTGTGTTGAGCGTGCAGAGCTTTGCACAGCTTCATCAAAGAGGCTCCCTGCAACATGTTTTCTGTCTTTTTTTCTCTTGGTCTTGGGGTGTTCGGAGGACCAAACAAAAATCAGCCAGTATGGGGTTTGCCCTGTTTGGCAATGACTCGGAAAGGGCTGGTGGACAGAAATCCCCAATGATGTTCACCAAACGGTCCCCAACTGTGAAAGTCATATGAGAAGTGGACAAAAATGTAGATAATGTTGTGTTAGTTTGGGGAGGACATGGGTTGAACGCAGAATTCCCTCAAAACCAGGGGCCCGCTCTATGATGTGAACCTGTGGGCCACATCCATTTTGAGAGGCAAACCTCCAATCAAACTCCGCGCTGAGGAACCTGGCGAACCTGTGTACGCACCTCTTCGAGGCTCTCGACGGTTCCAAAAGGAACGTGTGGGTACTGTATGTGCCAAAATTGAGAGATCCAACAAAAGGGCACCCATGTGTGTGTGTGTCTCTGTGTCTGTGTCTGTGTCTGTGTCTGTGTGTCTGTGTCTGTGTGTGTGTGTCTGTGTCTGTGTGTCTGTGTCTGTGTCTGTGTGTCTGTGTCTGTGTCTGTGTCTCTGTGTCTGTGTCTGTGTCTGTGTGTGTGTCTCTGTGTCTGTGTCTGTGTCTGTGTCTGTGTGTCTGTGTCTGTGCGTGTGTGTGTCTGTGTCTGTGTGTCTGTGTCTGTGTCTGTGTGTCTGTGTCTGTGTCTGTGTCTCTGTGTCTGTGTCTGTGTCTGTGTGTGTGTCTCTGTGTCTGTGTCTTTGTCTGTGTCTGTGTGTCTGTGTCTGTGTGTGTGTCTGTGTCTGTGTGTCTGTGTCTCTGTGTCTCTGTCTCTGTGTCTCTGTGTCTGTGTGTCTGTGTCTCTGTGTCTCTGTGTCTCTGTGTCTCTGTGTCTCTGTGTCTCTGTGTCTCTGTGGCTCTGTGGCTCTGTGGCTCTGTGTCTGTGTGTCTGTGTGTCTGTGTGTCTGTGTGTCTGTGTGTCTGTGTGTCTGTGTGTCTGTGTGTCTGTGTGTCTGTGTGTCTGTGTGTCTGTGTGTTGGTGTGTCGGTGTGTCTGTGTGTCTGTGTGTCTGTGTGTCTGTGTGTCTGTGTGTCTGTGTGTCTCTTTGTGTGTCTGTGTGTGTCTGTGTGTGTCTGTGTGTGTCTGTGTGTCTCTGTGTGTCTCTGTGTGTCTCTGTGTGTCTCTGTGTGTCTCTGTGTGTCTCTGTGTGTCTCTGTGTGTCTCTGTGTGTCTCTGTGTGTCTCTGTGTATCTCTGTGTGTCTCTGTGTGTCTCTGTGTGTCTCTGTGTGTCTCTGTGTGTCTGTGTGTGTCTGTGTGTGTCTGTGTGTGTCTGTGTCTGTGTGTGTGTCTGTGTGTGTGTCTGTGTGTGTGTCTGTGTGTGTGTCTGTGTGTGTGTCTGTGTGTGTGTCTGTGTGTGCTTCTGTGTGTGCTCTGTGTGTGTCTGTGTGTCTCTGTGTGTCTCTGTGTGTGCTCTGTGTGTCTCTGTGTGTCTCTGTGTGTCTCTGTGTGTCTCTGTGTGTCTCTGTGTGTCTCTGTGTGTCTCTGTGTGTCTCTGTGTGTCTCTGTGTGTCTCGGTGGTGTCTCTGTGTGTCTCTGTGTGTCTCTGTGTGTCTCTGTGTGTCTCTGTGTGTCTCTGTGTGTCTCTGTGTGTCTCTGTGTGTCTCTGTGTGTCTCTGTGTGTCTCTGTGTGTCTCTGTGTGTCTCTGTGTGTCTCTGTGTGTGTGTGTGTCTCTGTGTGTCTCTGTGTGTCTCTGTGTGTCTCTGTGTGTCTCTGTGTGTCTCTGTGTGTCTCTGTGTGTCTCTGTGTGTCTCTGTGTGTCTCTGTGTGTCTCTGTGTGTCTCTGTGTGTCTCTGTGTGTCTGTGTGTCTCTGTGTGTCTCTGTGTGTCTCTGTGTGTCTCTGTGTGTCTCTGTGTGTCTCTGTGGGTCTCTGTGTGTCTCTGTGTGTCTCTGTGTGTCTCTGTGTGTCTCTGTGTGTCTGTGTGTGTCTCTGTGTGTCTCTGTGTGTCTGTGTGTGTGTGTGTTTGTGTGTGTCTTTGTGTGTGTCTGTGTGTGTGTGTGTCTCTGTGTGTCTGTGTGTGTCTCTGTGTGTCTCTGTGTGTCTCTGTGTGTCTCTGTGTGTCTCTGTGTGTCTCTGTGTGTCTGTGTGTGTCTGTGTGTTTGTGTGTGTCTGTGTGTGTGTGAGTGTGTTTGTGTGTGTCTGTGTGTGTCTGTGTGTGTGTTTTCTGTGTGTCTGTGTGTGTCTGTGTGTGTCTCTGTGTGTCTCTGTGCGTCTCTGTGTGTCTCTGTGTGTCTCTGTGTCTCTGTGTGTCTCTGTGTGTCTGTGTGTGTCTGTGTGTCTGTGTGTGTTTGTGTGTCTCTGTGTGTGTCTGTGTGTGTGTTTGTGTGTGTCTGTGTGTGTGTGTGTCTCTGTGTGTCTGTGTGTCTGTGTGTGTCTGTGTGTGTCTCTGTGTGTCTCTGTGTGTCTCTGTGTGTCTCTGTGTGTCTCTGTGTGTCTGTGTGTGTCTGTGTGTCTGTGTGTGTCTGTGTGTCTGTGTGTGCGTGTGTTTGTGTGTGTCTGTGTGTGTGTGTGTCTGTGTCTGTGTGTGTCTCTGTGTGTCTGTGTGTGTCTGTGTGTGTCTCTGTGTGTCTCTGTGTGTCTCTGTGTGTCTCTGTGTCTCTGTGTGTCTCTGTGTGTCTCTGTGTGTCTGTGTGTGTCTGTGTGTCTGTGTGTGTGTGTGTGTTTGTGTGTGTCTGTGTGTGTCTGTGTGTGTGTGTCTCTGTGTGTCTGTGTGTGTCTGTGTGTCTTCTGTGTGTGTGTGTGTGTGTGTTTGTGTGTGTCTCTGTGTGTCTGTGTGTGTCTCTGTGTGTCTCTGTGTGTCTGTGTGTGTGTCTGTGTGTGTCTCTGTGTGTCTCTGTGTGTCTCTGTGTTTCTGTGTGTCTCTGTGTGTCTCTGTGTGTCTCTGTGTGTCTCTGTGTGTCTCTGTGTGTCTGTGTGTGTCTCTGTGTGTCTGTGTGTGTCTGTGTGTCTGTGTGTGTGTGTGTTTGTGTTCGTCTGTCTGTGTTTGTGTGTGTGTTTGTGTGTGTCTGTGTGTGTGTGTCTGTGTGTGTGTCTCTGTGTGTCTGTGTGTGTCTGTGTGTGTCTCTGTGTGTCTCTGTGTGTCTCTGTGTGTCTCTGTGTGTCTCTGTGTGTCTCTGTGTCTCTGTGTGTCTCTGTGTGTCTCTGTGTGTCTCTGTGTGTCTGTGTGTGTCTGTGTGTCTGTGTGTGTGTGTGTCTGTGTGTCTGTTTGTCTGTGTGTCTGTCTGTGTGTCTGTGTGTCTGCGTGTCCGTGTGTTTGTGTGTGTGTGTGCCTGTGTGTCTCTGTATGTGTCTCTGTATGTGTCTGTGTGCGTGGGTCTGTGTGCGTGTCTCTGTCTGTGTGTGTGTGTGTGTTGTGAGTGTGTGTTTTGAGGCTGCTTTCTATTCTGGGAGCGGGGGCATGCATGCCCATGGTTTTCCAGGGTATTCGGGTACCGCATGACCTCGCCACCAAACAAAACCTCAAGTGAGGGTACCCTGTTTTTAGGTTCTCTGTGCAAGTCGTGGTGCATTCAATCTAGCTTCACACGGAGGAGACCTCCGACGCGTGCTTGCGTGCGTGTGGTTCTCAAAACAGGCGGCCCCCTGCAAGAAGTCATGTTTTCTTTCGGCTTGTTTCAAACAACCAAAATGGATCGAAAAGCAGACTCCAAAGAAGCTGGATGCCAGGCCGAGCCCGCCAACCTGATCTTTTGCAGGCGAGCGAGCGAGTGCCCAGTGCAACATCTTCTTCTTCTTTTTTTTGTTATTTTCTTTGGGAACCCCTGCCGGCTTCTGGTGGCAATATGTCTTTGCTTTGGGGAACCTGACTTTCTTCAAGTGCAGGGAGGTCCACATCCAGTAAGAGTCCCCATTTCATACACTTCCCAGGGTTTTCCCTCCTAGGTAAACGGGGGCCTGGGAGGTGGGGATTTTGCAAACATCAAACACTGTCACAGATTGTGGATGCCATATTGCAAGTAGGGGACTGAGCGAAAACCGGCATTTGCCGCAATTCACGGGTGCTGTGGCTTGCTTGCAATATGTATGTAGTTGGAACCCACCGCTAGATTCCAACACATTGCAGGTAAATCAGCCATACTGAACCATAAAACCATGGTAAGTCGCGGAAATTAGAGAATCGGTTTCCTTGCTCCCGTACTAGTACTTGCAATGTTCAGTTGGAATCCAAGGGGGGGGGTCCGGTGGAAGTGGTATCATGCGCAGGCTTCTTAGCACCGGGCTGCTGCACGACTACCTCGCCCAGGAGGCACGGTTTACGCGGATTTGGCAGGGGCCTTTTGGACAGACGTGGCTGACACAAGATGTGTTTAATTATGATACATACACAGATATATATATATATATATATATGTTGTAATATATATATGTACACTGTGATCAGACATGTTGAATAAAACGTGTCCTGATATCAATGCCATATAATGGTACCATAAGATCATAGCACATAGAACAATTAACTAACATACTGGCTCAGGAGCTCAGCTGCAGGTCGAACAAGCCATGATTAAGGTCTTTGATGATTCCTAAATGTGCCCAGATACATTGTTTAGACAGTTTGCAAGAGACTGTTGTCATGTTTTGCATGGTTTTCATGCAACTCGCACGAGGGCCGTGCGTTTCAGGACCTTCTTGTTGGTTGACAGACAGAAAACCAAGCATTGGCCGTACAGCCCAATAAACTCGACTTGGGCGCCACTGCGTGCCTGTTTATTTGGTTTGGACTCGATGTTGAATGTTGAATGATTGTCAAGGACGCCAGGGGCATATAGGATCCAGCTGGGTTCGGCGGAATGCCGCGCTGTCCCCTCAAATTAGTGGAGTGTCCGTGAGGATGTTCCAGGTCTATAGAGAAGGACATTTGGATGTAGGTGGCATGCTTGCAGCAAGCAACCATGCGTGAATTAGTTAAACTTTGCTCAACGTTTTTTTCACCAGGTGTGTGTTCCCCTGATCAGCACCTTAGCCATGGCTCACTTCGCTGGTCGGCTTTGTGACACTTGTCGAGTCAGCATGCGGTATCCAGCATGCCTTGGTTTGGCTCGGAATTCATTTCGAGTACGAAGTGCAAGAAAGCCACTCAGCCACTCAGCAGCCGGGCTCTCCAAAGTGTGGGTAGTTTCAAAGCTCCCCACAACCCCAGTCAAGCTAAATAAGCCCTTATGCTACTTGCCAAACGCTTGATTCTGAGGCTTGCCTTCTTTTCCGTCTCCCGCTTCCCTTGACCAAACTTTGGACGGCCAAAGCAAACATGAGCTTGCAGCGTTTCTCAGGTCCCTGCTTTTGAGTCTCCATGCTTTTCACCTCCCTTGACAAGGAGCTTTGGGGCAGAATATCCAATCCCAGTGCAGCGGGTCAAGTCGCAAAACGACTCCGGAATTTTGCACAAAGTCATGGACAGGTGAACATTGTTTGCTGATCTGTCAAAACCAAGCAGAGAACGAAGCCTGCTGCAAAGGGTGTTCCAGAGCTGTAAGCTGTATTTTGACGATTTGGATTTGGAGGAGGCAGGAACCCGGTTTGTGATGTTGAAGACAGACTCCAAGAACTCGCCGACATGCGTTTTGAGCATCCCAGGGAAACTTTGCCATGAGGAATGCTTCAGGGTTTGACCCAAGGTATGGAGGGCTCTTGGGCATCCAGCTCAGGCGAAGAAGGTGCAGAAGGGGGACAGGAGGACTCACCTCACGGTGAAGCTCGCGGCGTTGTGGGGCGCTCAGTTGGAAATGCGACTGTCGACCTTTCTGAACCGTTCAACTTTGAATCAACAAGTTATTTGTGTGCATGGGGTCTCCTTGACCAACGAAGTCGTCGGCACGTTGGGAGGTTTGGGGGGTTTGGCTGTCACACCAGACAACGAAGGTATCCACCCCGATTACGGGCTTGGAGGCTCCATTTTGCTGTTGGGTGAACTTGCCTGTCGTGGACTTGGAAAGGACCACACAGCTCCCAAATCGCCTCTCACTTGTGAGAGGGCTGGATCCTGAAGGGTGGGCAATCTCAAGCGGCTCACTTGTTGGATGCGATCTATCAACTTAATGAGTAATGTCTGACTGATAGGTCATGGGACAAGAAACTGATAGGTCATGCAGTCATGGGACAAGAATCTGATAGGCCATGGGGCAAGAAATGGGTAACCGATTCCAACCTGCATAGGATGATGTGTGCATAGCCATGTTAGAACCTCCGGGGATGAGTAGATTGGAACTGGAGTGGTATGCTTTTGGGCTCCGATCAAATGTTGCTTCACCGAGCAGTCGAAGTTCCGCAGGCTGGGCTGGATCTTTTTCAGGAGAAGGCGGCCGAGGGCGCGGGCCTTCGGGATTTCCCCCAATTGGACGTACCTAAGTGGTGATAAGGTCACACGCAGCCAGCCAGGGTACATACCCCGAACCCAACCCTATGATGGCCGACAGGGATACGTCCACTTGGGCATGTAAACGGGGCCTTAGAGTGGTGTTTGCCAGGAACTCAGCTTGAAATCATTTCAACCTGTCCCTGGTTTTGAGAGTTCTTTTGTTTTCTACGCTCGGAAGGCGACCTCTCTCCTTCAGATCCGCTGAGAAGGACAAAAAATGCGTGTTTGTCTTTGCTGCTCTTCACCTGCAAAGCAAAGAACAAGCTTAGCGGTAAAAGATCCTACTCATAAAGAAGATCCGCTGGAGGATTGCTTTCCAGTTGGCCACAAGATTGCGATTTACCGGATCTCTATCGTGTGAGCCACTGCCGTGTTCTGGTTCACAAGTCACAGGACGGTGAGGGCGTGTTCAGAAGCTTCACCAGTGACTCTTCGGCTTCTTCCTCAGCAGAAGCTAGGGCGCAGAGGGCTTTCGGGGCTTTGTGCAGTGCAGACCAAGAGTGCAATTCACACAGCAAGGCCCAGTATTTGTGCGGGTACTTGCGCGCCATGTGGGTCTGTCTCCAAATGTCTCTCCAACCTGCCGAAAAAGAGAAGCCCAGCTCTAGAAAGGGGACAACTAGTCTCTCGCCAATGTTTTGCAATGTTCCACTCCCCGACAAATTTCCAGCAAAGTCGAGACCCCCAGCTTGGTTTTGCCATCTCGTGCAGCGGGGACGTATCGGCGCGACGGGTCGCCGCCAGGCTGCCGCCTTCGGTGCCGAAGGAGCGGCTTCACCGCAAGAAGCATCTGCCCTCCGAGGCGCCCCGGGGGCGGCGTGGTGGGCGTGGCGGGTGTGTCTCGCTCTTCGGAGTTGGTACCTTCAGGAAATTCAGGTTGGTTCAAGATTGGCAGTGGAACTCCACTTGTCCATTGTAGTTGTGAGTACGTGGCGAGAAAACTAGTTGAAGGACTCCTTCTTGAAACGAGTCAATTTCCAACGAAATTGAGCCCTGACGTGCATGTTTGATTTCTGATGATTGGAGCTAGGGTCCCCGCACCCCAACCTGCATCAATCTCCTCAAAACAGACTGCCGTTGATTCACAGGTCTTTCGGCGCTCAGGGACTTTCTCGGTACGATCCATGAATGAAGAAAGGGGGTTGCGCCCATTTTGGGAGTATTTTGGGCAGAACTACTTGATCGATTGACCCGGCGTCACTTGATGGGACTGGGTTCACTTGATGGGCCAATTCATGGGAGCCGAGGATTCATGAACTTCTGGTTGATTAAGAGGGAGTGTTGAGATCCACGAATCGGTTTTGGGCAGAACCCCCCTTTCCACCAGGAATCAATCCGTGGTTGACCTCTGGAGGAGCCCCCCAAGCTGATTTTCCTGTTTCCACAAAAGGCTTCCAGTGGAGTTTCGTGCCTTCAATGCACGTGGTGACCTGCAGATGGCAGGATAGAACTTGCGAAGTCGAAGCTGCCATGCAGATGTGTTTTTTTTCGTTTACCTTGGAATCGGACGAGAACATGTGAAGAGTGTTTGCGGTTGGCGGTTACCCTTTGATGAAGTATCCAATTTGAAGTGCGTCGAAGCATTCGAGCTGGTTCTGCAGAGTGGCAGAGTGGCAGAGTGCATCTGAGCATCCGTACATCCTGGGGATGGATTGAGCAACTCGCCTGAGCTCACGTACTGACTTTGGGGGGATGAAGGCCGGCCAATTCGCAATGCCAGACTGGAATGGCTGAGGATCAACAAGCCGCTCCAATCAGAAGTCTAACTCGCGAACACTGGCTAAGGCAGGCAGACCTGAAATGTTTTGGCATTGTGCCGCTAATGCGGAGAATGGTTGTGGTTCTTTCAACTTGTTTGAGCTCCTTCTCACTCAGTTGATGGTCATCCCGTTCGAAAGAACGCAAACACCTGTTGGTGGCTGTTCAAGTCGAACAACCAACAAACCAACCGTGTCTCGCACCAACAGACATCCTGAGTCCACAGGAGCCAGTTGATTCATTCCTCCAAATCAGACATCTTGACGCTGAGATTTACATGATTCATAGATCCCCCAAGCAGTTTCCCCAATTTTTTGGGTAGCCGTGTAGCTGGTGCCACCGGGTACAATTCACGAATTGCCAGGGCTGCCCCAAGCTGCCGCCCTTGACACCGCGAATACGAAAGGACGCGACTGGATGTGAGTCAGCCATCATATGTCAGTGGTTTGTGCTTTAATAAAACTGTTGGTTTTGAAGGGAAACCAAGAGGACAACAACCACCATGTTGGGGGGTCCGATTCCAACAAACAGGCACATATAGCCATAGCGATCTATAGCGCCCGTGCGTTTCTGTCTGAGCTTCGAAGAACAAAACTACTCACTGGAGGTCTTGAAATTCTCGGGGTCCACTGGCGGTCGAAAAACAAGCACACTGCTTGCTTTGAAACTAACTGCTCAGAAGTGCCATTGCACTGGAGGTCGGAGGTCTGACAGACATCCCCTATGGGTTGCCAGGGGAACACTGTGGTTTCCTGCTTAGTTGCAGGAGATCCAGCGCTACAACTTGCAGCTCTTCGAGATCTTCCAGCAGTTCGCCTACGCTGTGGCCGTGACCAGGCGCCGAAACTCCACAGAAACGCCACATATGTTCAGCTTTCGGCGCCTAAGAAAGGGCCCGCCGGCGTTTCACAGCGGGGTAGGCATCATCCCTGTGGGAAGTTGTCTCTCTGCCGAGAATCATAATCATGGCTCGCAACCTTGACTATGTCTCATGTGTTCCAAACAATGGTTTTAACTTCCTAGCTTGCTGCTTTTGGGCCGATGATTTTGTTTGGGGGCATGGGAACCTTGGTGGTTAATGTTGTGTTTTGGATACGTTCATGCTCAGTCTAGTGGGGGAGTGCCTGGCTCATCAATGGATTTCCCTGGCCAATTGCCACAGTGGACACTGGAAGGACTGCGTGTTGTGGGTCGTTCCCAGCGTATAATTCACGGGTGTAGTACGAATGTCCACAGATGTTTGGGGTGGTCGTGGCAAGCCACCGTCAATCAAATGGTCCAGGGCATGCGGTACGGGTATGTTTTTCACTCAAACAGGGGGCTGCTTTATGTTCACTCCGGAGTTGAACTAGGACGATACCAATCCGAAAGAGCAAGCAAGGCACCGAAACCAAATGGAACAAGCCCTGCAGGACAGGGAACGGGTCTTGTTGATACGCTTCTCATGACTCTGAAGTCGACGTTGCCCAGTGAGTGTGCGTCGGAAGCTAAGCACCCTGAAGCATTTTGCTTGGCGCAGGAAGATCGGGGAGACTGACGTCACGCTGCCGAATAGCCAGAGGCCCTCTGGGATGCACATTCCAGCTTATTTCAAGGGGCTTGGGCGGAGTGGCTGAAATAGTTGCAGGGTCGCACAGCCCACTGTTGTTGGAAAACTGGAATTCCAAACGGTCGGCTGACTATTGAAGTGGCCCACAGAATGTAGCATGATGTTGTGCGAGCCACCCATGGTGCTCACTCGAAAAGAAGCGATTGAAACGTGCAGGTCGTTCAGGCACAAGCTGGATGAGCGAGGGCAGCCTTTTGCCGCTGCCTCAATTTGACTGCTGATGGGAGTGTCCCATTTAGTGTCCATACCGAACCGAAAAAGGGACCGACTGTGCGCATGCCACGGTCTTGTTCCTCATCTCCCAAAGCCAGAGCGCCAATTTCCTGCAGAAATTGCCAGGACGCAAACGCCTCATTCGGGCCCGAGCTTTTGGACCAACTGGTGAAGTGCGCTTGCCACCATGGTCAATGTTCATTACCGGGGTATCTTCTTCCTCTTTTTTTTGCGGGCTGTTTCCCATGGGATCTCGTTGTGCCCTATCGGCACTGTGGGCGTGTGGTGGTATCGTCGGGCATTATGGCGAAGCCCGAGAGATCAGAGAGAGTCTGGAAACAAGAGTCAATGGAGACCATCGGCCAGATGCCCCATGGGTGCTGAAAGAGTCCTTCGTGGGGTCTGCGCTTGAATACGTCTGATCAAACATGATCAAACGGCCCCTCAGTGCACCCACGATGAATCCAGGTACAAAGCTCGGTCGCCGTTTTCGGCGCTTGCGGGCGTGGGCGATCAATTCCGGTCGCCCATCGACTTGTGCAAGAACTGCAGGCCGGGTCAGATCCATGCGTGCGCTCCGAGCCGTTAGCTCGGATTAGTTAGGGTTCGTCAAAACATCTGCCAGCTGGGTGCGGTTGGCCTGAAATACAAGCCTCCTAGCTGGCTAAGCAATGAAACGAGTGCTTTCCCACAGTGCCTAGCGTTCTGCGTATATTTCTGCAGCAGCTTGTATTGAAGCAACTGTTTGACATGCATGTGGGTCATTTGGGTGGCCTACTCCCTGCATTGGAGACAAGCTTCAAGGAATCCCGATGTGTTCCAACAAACCCGTTTTTGTTGGACCTGCGCCCATCTCTGACGGCAGCTCGCCACGGGACGGTCGGACCGTCGGAGCTTCCCAGAAACGTGCTGCACCTCGACCTCAACGCCATCCCCACGGTGGCCTGCCCTCCCCAAGGCGTGGGGGACGAGAGCGCTGACCTGGAGGACCGGAGCATTTGTCTTGAGAGCTTCAGGGACCCACTCGGTTTTTATTTAGTTGGGCCCTTAAAAAGCTACGGGACGCAAAGTCATGTGGAGTCACCCATTCCGGGCCTGAACCTTTGTTAGGCCGCTAGGCCCTTAAAACTGCGGGGAATCAAAGCCTGAGCATGGGGAGTCATTTCACGCAAACCTATTGGTGGGATGGCGAAATCATGGGGCGCCGGTTGTTGGTTGCACCTTTCTGGGAGGATGTTTCCCAACCACAAACCACTGCCAGGGGGAAAATGGGTGTGTGTAGCGACAGGTAGTGTACCCCATTTTCCCTGGGGGAGTGATGTTCAATCACATCCCCCTTCAAAGTGACAAAGTAATCATGGCCACCAAACGGGTATCACGGAAACGGCGATTTTCCCTGTGACTTGGTTGGCGGCCAGGAGACCAATAGCTGGATCCTGGACTTCATGATCCACGGGCAGAGGAAGTACCTCTGGGAGGAGAGCGCTGCGAACTCTAGTGGTCTAATTGTTCTGGACGTTTTGGACCGTCTTACATCTGATGAAAGACAGGCTTAAATCCTAGGTGTTGAGTTGACAGTTCACCAAGTACTAGTGGTTTGGGGCGGATGGGAAGGGTGCCCACCCCAATTCCTCGCACACATCAGGCGGCCCACCCAATTGTCCCATTACAAAGGATTCCTTCTTTGAACAGGTTATATATTGATTTCAGATAGTTTTGTTGTCCATTCAGCACAGAGAGATGTGCCATGATCAAAACTCTGAATCTGTGGGTCCTGGTCATGCCTTCTTGGAGCCCTTATGGTTGTCTAAAACCTCTAATGCAGAGGATCGGTTCATATGGCCATGGGCAGGAGGCGCCCTCACCCCGGGCTTTTCTTGGTTTCCTCAAAGCTATCCAAGCGGAAGCTCCTCCCCAGCACGGGCGACCATTTCTCCATGCCGTGAATTTGCACTTGCCGGAAAATAACAACGCGCTCCTTAAGCATAGAATTGGGAGAGCGGGGTGCCCCCGGAGTGGATGTATGGTTCCATTTTCGAAAAATGGAATTGGGGCACCCCCCCGAACCCCCTCGCCCTTAAGATTTGCGGAGCCAGTCATGATCCGCAAGTCACTCCAGATTGTTGTTCCGTTTAGAAGGATGCCTCTTCTCGAGGTACAGCTGGGGATGGTCTTCCACTTGGGGGCGCCAAATCATGCATTCCCAACAGGGACAGCCCCGCTCCGGGCGCAAATTGCGGGCGCGAATTTGCATTCGAAATTCTTCACGTTTGATCCTCGTACCCACTTTTCCGATCCCATGTGTCCCCCACTATTCTGGATACTTAATCGATCTTCCAGGTGTGTGTGTGTGTGCGCGTGTCTCGTTTGACAGGGGACGTCCCTAGTTTGCGATACGTTTTAAGGGGACATGCTGCGAAAACCCAAGGGATGTGTTTCAGGCTGTGAACGTTCACAAACTCGGATCCCCTGCCCGATGATCAAAGGACAACGGCATCAACGCCACAAGGGCGTGGAAGATGACGGATGAGTTCGTGCAGACCCTGAAGAAGGCCTGTCCGATGTGCGTGACAGGAACCCTAAGCAATTCGGTTTACTCTTGGTTTCCCTAACAAGTGGACCACACTTCTGCCTAAAAAAGAACATGGAACCCATACCATCAGTTTTGGAGGAACCTCCTTTTTGGGGAAATCCTTGTTGGGTTCCATGTCAATTTGCAGGGCATCGGCAAGCACCTTGGGATTATAGAATGGATTCAACATATTTCAACATCATAGTGCGGATGTTGAACTTAGCCGTTGTCTTGAGGCAGGAACGGCCCGAATGGTCCAAACAGGGCCTTTCCGAGTCACGTTCCACGTGGGATCGTTCCTTGTTGTTTCGTGTCCCAGTTTAGTGGATTGCCCCTCAAATCTCTTTTTGTGTGGCCTGCAGCCGCAAACTTGTGGTTTTTGGAACCAAAATCAACGGTTCAGGGGTGCGTTTCGTGCTTGGTGCACGGCTCTGAGGTTTGTTACTCCCTTGATAGGTGCGGGTTTGTCCCAAACCGAATCAGCGCGGCAGGGCTGCCATCTATCCCTTGTGTATTTCGATGTATTAGGATATATTCCTTGATCGAGGTGAGGAAACCACACAATTCTTCAATGAGGAGGTTGAACAGTCCTTTGGGACACAAAGATTGTAACGTCTCTTTGGCCAGCCCACTCTCCAGATAGAAACGTGTCGAGTTATGTGCGGAGGACTCTCCTGCAAGGAACCCCGGTTGGAGTACCCTTCCACCTCGCATGGAACCAAAGTCTCAGGAGACTCAAGAGAAAGCAGATCTACCAGGGACCTTCCGAGCTTCAGCTTCTTTGTTGGACATGGAGGCAGACAAGGGGCATGTCTAAGTTGTGCAAGAGGATAGACTTCCGACACCCCCCAGTCCAATTTCAGGTGTCTAGCCCAAGGAAATACTGTAGAAGGTTTGTGTTGGGTACTGGACGTTTGTTTTTTTGCGACTTCTGTTCACAGCCATCCAAAAAGGGGTGCGACACTTCACCTCATGGACGCTGGGCCGCTTGGCAGGCCGAGAAGGCCCTGAAGGCTGGGGGCTGTGTTGCGGGCTATTCTATGGGGACACTAGGAATTCCCACGCAAAGGGCAAAACGGGGTGTGTTGTTTTTGTTGTGTACTTGCCTTTCTGCCTTCTGATTTCAATTGGAAACCAAACATAACACCACCATCTTAGTGGGAGAAACAAACTAGACATCCAAATGCAGCAAAGCACGAGCCAGAACCTGAGGCATCATCCGATTCAGAAAGCACTTGAAGAATCGAAAGCAATCCGTTTAGGGTAGTAGAAAGCTTGGATAGTAGACAGCTTGTCAGCTTGTTCTGCTGTCAACCTGGCCAATTCTGTGAAACTTAAGGCAATTGGACGGGAAGCACTTGATATTGGGATCCGTCTTGCTCAAATCTGTTTGATTTTATCAGCTGTTGTCTCTTCGTTGTTTTGTTGTTGAGCCACAGTCTATTTGGGTTTTGTCTCAAAAGGGATCAGTCCACTGGTTGGATGGAAGGGGGAAATGCAATCAGCGGACCTCCGGAAGACCGAATTTGCTTAGGAAGAGACTGCCTTGGCAGAACCAACACAATACCCCGAAACTCATTTAAAGACCTTTTAGAGGAGCTCAGTCGGGAGTCCATGTTAGCATCCAGGACATGGGAAAGAATCCGCACCGCGGCAAACGGCCAGGTTCCTCTTGTCTTTCCCTTTCAACATTTGACATGGATTCCAAGATCAGGACGCACGTTCACACACACACACACACCAGCCTTTGTAAGCATATCGACAGAAGCAATTGTTGGAGCACGCTGCAATTCTTGGCGCGGGTCGACTGTGAGGCATGGGGTGAAATATGACCAGGCGGAAGCTGACACGAGCCAATGACAAATTCCACTTCCCAGACCGGCAGAAGTGTCCTCGTTTCCTTTGCTGGTTGGGCTTTCCTTCAAAATTCACACACGCAGACCTCAAAGAAAGAGTTTGTCCTTTTCACCTGGCCAGTGGAGGTTCGGCTGTTTGTGGTCAACTTGACAGGTATGTGTCCGCATCTTCACAGCTTCGCTTGCTTACCTGGACAGGGCGGTTGGAAACACAAGTCCGAGATGTGGCTCTGGATTCCTCTACATATCTCGAACTCCCAGTTGCCAACTTCGGCCGTGGTAGTTAGTTGTTAGTTCTGGTGGTTTTCCGTGGGGCTGCGTAGCGCAGGACCCTTCCCATTCCTTTCCTGGTTGGGTTCATCCCCATTTTGGAGGAACGGGGTTCTCACTTGTTGGGAAACACCCGCTCCAATTAATCCGACAGGCTCTACTCAAATCCGGAAGCAACATTATGTGGCATTACAAGGGGATTCATCAATTTGTGCTTGCCTTGGGGTACAGCGTGGTGCCTGACTTTGGGGATTCTTTAGTAATTTGCCGATTTGCCCCAGAAGTATGGAAAAGATCCCAGGATTCCCCAAAGCATCTGGCGCCTCGGCAGGCTTTTGCTGCTGACGGCGACATCGTTCTGACCACCACTGCAGCCTTGGCAAAGGCGCACGCTGGGCTCCAAAGGGTTCGTTTTCAAGCATGAGCAAAGAGTTACCGCGGTTTCGGTTTTGGGCGGCAGTATTGGTAGGCCATTTCCTATTCCTATTTGGTAGTGCAAAATGCCGGTTCATGCTCACTCCCTGCGACACACAAGTGCAAAAGTATATGTTTCTCGGGTACAATTAATATCTCAGGGGACACATTGAACAGGTTCTAAATTATATAAGTTTATTGGGTTCTTCCTCCTGCCCGTTTCACCCCAAGTACCAGATGGACTTCCCATAAACGGGTTCGGATCGCTTGCACCAAGGGAGAAACTTGTGTGTAACAGCCAAACGGAACCCATTTGTTACAAGCCATTTGGGGTCACCCAAATTTCAGCATCGCGGAGTTTGGGGTAGTTTCAATCATCCATTTGTTAGGGGATTTGTTTTAGTCCAAGGAATGAATTTCCTTTCGGTGGGATGATGTTTAAAGGGGACATATTACTTTAAAGGGCCCTGTTTTGGTTTGAAACGGGTTCGTTCTGGGGCACTCAGGCGGGGGCATTCCGTTTTGGAATTTGGGCACAATTCGCAGCCAGCATCAATCCAGTGGTTGGCTTGGCGTTGCGTTTGCCCGCGCTTTGTTTTTGCCTCTGCCTTTGCGTCTTCGCCACATTTGTTGTTGGCTTGTCCGTTGCTCTTGTTGCTTTGCATTGCCACATCCTTTCCCTTCTTGGTGAATCCCGATGTTTGTTTTATGTCATACCTCCTACTCGTGGAGTGTTTCCAAACCAGCGCAAATCGTGGGGTAGTTATGGCCTTGTGCAGTGCTCGTTCAGATGTGAAGTCCTTCGAAGTCGATGGTTTTATTCTCTCGGGTTGCTGAACTTGGCGCAAGGAGATGGAGGCGTACCACAAGAAAGGATGAGAAGGCTATTTCGTCTCCGAAGCCTAGGTTTTGTGCTGGCCAAAAAGCACATTGTAAGCCAGTTTTGGCTAGTTGCGTAGCCAGACACATTGTCACGCCGTTTCAAATTCACTGGACACCCTGTTTGTGGCGATCCGACCATTTTAGATGGGACCCTGCTTTTCCAACCCCAAACCTGTGCGTTGACGCTCCGTATTACTTTTTGGTTTATGGGCCCTACGACAGGTTGGGCGTCGAAAACAATTGGACCACTTTTTCTAGTTGCTTGCGTCCCAATGCCGAAATCACTTGCGTTGCATTTGGCTCGAAAAGAAATCAGCTTCCAGCAACATGTCCTGGATTCCATTTGGGGTGGTTTTGACGTCTAGCTGGAACCCTAGCTGCGTGGAACTGCTTTTGTTCCCCCTCCCCCCCCCCGAAAGCATAAACAAATACGCTGCAAACGCCTTGGCGCACGTGCTGACTGGCGGAACTCGGGGTTGCCATGAGATGGCAAGCAAAGGCCTCCGAAGAGGCGGAACCGGGAATCCAACCGGGACTGAAGGGTGGCCGGGGATTTGCCTTTTGACCCTCTCGGAAAGAAAGCGAAGAGGTGCACCAGCTGCTCGGTTTCCATCCATATCATTCCAAGCCCGGAAGTGTCGAACCACCAGAGATACAGCTGAGAAAATGGCTTGACCGGAGCATGGCTGGGTGTGTGTGTGGTGTGTGTGTGGTGTGTGTGTGGTGCGTGTGGTGTGTGTGGTGCGTGTGGTGTGTGTGTGTGTGTGTGGTGTGTGTGTGTGTGTGGTGTGTGTGGTGTGTGTGTGTGTGTTGTGTTGTGTTGTGTTGTGTTGTGCTGTGCTGTGCTGTGCTGTGCTGTGCTGTGCTGTGCTGTGCTGTGCTGTGCTGTGCTGTGCTGTGCTGTGCTGTGCTGTGTTGTGTTGTGTTGTGTTGTGTTGTGTTGTGTTGTGTTGTGTTGTGTTGTGTTGTGTTGTGTTGTGTGTGTGTGCAACACTTGGGCATTGTACATATCGATTGGCTGCCTTTCTCACACATGTGATAAGGGAAGTCCCTTTTGGTACAGTAGCGTTTGACATGTTTGGACCTTTGTCTTAAAGTGACAGTGGAAAAGATGAAGCCCGAGTTTCAGGTTGAACAATCAGGAAGGGCCCAAAAGTCCTGGTGCGGCCCGCAGTTCCAACCGCACCATGGGTTGGTCTCAAGGTGCCGTTTACCTAAGCTGCGATCCAATAGATCAACCCCCAAGGGTAGAAGATTGGTTTAGTGTCCATCGTTTTTCCTTGAAAGGCCAATCTTCTACCCCGGGTCTAGGGTTTGGGTCTTTGCAGTGCCCAAGGTGCCCTTGCTCAATCGCCATGCTCATCCAAAACCATTTCGACCAGGGGTAAAGAGCGCCCTTGCTAACAGACGTCACAGACTCCTCCTTTCGGCTGGAAGAGGTTTAAGTACAAGTTTGTTGTCGAGGGCCATGGTCATCCCGACAGTCCCAACGCCCTAACCGTACCGGACGTGCGGTGAGCAAGTTCTTTGACGCTGATCAGAGACGGACTGCGCATCAAAGGAGCTTCAATTGCTTCTAAATGACAGTGGTCGAAACCGGAACTGGGGATGGGATGTACCCCAGAATTGAATCAATCCTATAAAATGGCTGGAGCATCCAAGCCTCCCTTATGGAAAACTGCACTTGCCCCTTCGGTGTGACCGAAATTACCTTTTCACTTTTTTGGAAAGTTGTCCTTTTGCAGGGGTCAAAGGCGAATCCAGATAAATATAATTCTCAGGCGGGCGCTGAAGGCATATTTCGCCTCACACAAGGCCTTTGAGTAGTGGCCTATGCCTGTGTTAGTTGGATTGTTGGTGTATTAAACTATCCATCGAAGCCTGCAAATCGAGCTGTCTCGGTTGCACAACCAGTGGGTGTCTATATATGTTTACTAAATTATGGTAGTCCTGTTCTTGATGTCCGATAAGCGTGATGATTCCAGACTTAGGACTTTCTACAATCTTGCAGCATGAGCAGCTGACAAAGCTGTGTTGGCCAAAGGGGAAACCACCGGATTCGCCAGGCGCGGCTGCGACTGCGGCGGCCCGCGCAGCAGCAGTGGTAGCGAAGGCATGTCAATACTTGCTGGAGTCTCAATGACGCGTGAAACATGGGGTCCATAGGACCTGTCCTTTTTTTGAGAGTACCCTTCTTGGGGAGGCTTTGGAGAAACCCAAAGGACACCAACCATTTGTTGGGGTCGCCTATTTTGAGACAAACCCGCATGTCAAGAATCAGGGGTCAGGGTCGCGAAACTCCAAGAAGCTGAGTGCCAATTCGAAGCACTGGCTTCTGTTTGCGGGAGCTTTAGTCGATTTGGGGTTCATGACTGGCGGGGCGACACATGATAATTTTTGCAACTGAGCAACAGTCGATACTCACCATGTGGTCTGCACTAAGATAGTCAGATTGGGTTCACTCACCAGCATACCACACTGGTCGGTTGCACAATGCATATTCACTGTGGCCCAGGGTTGTTTCGGGGAAAGGGATGGCTGACACTTCTAGTAGCATCAGCTGAGGGCATGATTGCGCAGGGTGACCTGTGTGTTGTGTGTGTAGCCCCGTGCTGACAACCGATTGGCGTCCTGGAGCTTTTCGAACACAATCCTGCAGAAGGGCGACACAGAGCCACATGCCATGCTGACTGTGACATAGTATGGTGTCATGGTCAATGACACGCTTCAGCCATGGGGACTTTCGAAAAGGCAAGACAGGATTGTTGCCGAGAGGAGGACCACCTCTCATACACAAAACGTTTCCTTTTGCCCGAAGGTTTCACTTGCTCCAACAGCCGGCCGGAGCTGGGTTTCGAAATTTGAAGCATGTATTTGTTTTTGTCTCCTTGTGCTGCAGTCAAACGCACGATAGCTTGGGGCAATCCAGACATTTTGTTCGCTGGTTTTTGCGCATGGCAGGCCGCCATATCTAGAGGCGGAGACTCAGCCCGGTCCGACTGCCTCATTGAAGTGGCAGATGTGGAGCAGGCCTGGCGAACATCCCCGGGGCCCGCGGAATTCGGGGGCATCTTGACTGGAGATCTCCATGGCCATGCGTTGGCGGTTTTGGCCTTCAGATGGATCCCTTTCTGCACGTAGGGGACGCCCATCGCAGCGGTCGAATGGGTCCAATGGAGCACCGTCGAATGCAGGTGGTGCCCGGTTCGCTGGAGGAGTCCTGGGCATCCAAGGTCAAGGTGACCCTACAGCAGGTGCGATGAGTTTTTGTCGCACAGTGGAAGTTCCCTCCTCTTTGTTTCTGACTCTTTTGGGGAAGGGGTTCCTCTTAAGAATCAACCAATAAAAGAAAAGCGCCAGTGTTTTCCCCATGGGAATGCACACTGCTGAGTTGGAAAGCGATTCCCCACTGTGGGCCTGTCTTTGGAAGGACCCAAAGAGTCAGAATGGCTTTGGTTTCTCCTTGGTTGTCCTTACAAACAGCCCGCAAAAAGGGGTACCTTCTTTTCAGCAATCATCGCAGTGAAGTCTTCCAAAGCGCTCCGATTGTCGGCGTCCATGATTGGAGTGAGGGCAATGGGGACATATGGGTAAAGCGAGAGGACACTCGTGATGAAGGTCCCTCCTTTACGTGGTATTCTTTAGTTCAGATTGGTGAACCAAAGAAACGGGTGCAGATAAATCCTGAAATAAGCAATGTCCGCCAAAGGGTCCCCAATGCCCAAACTAGCATAGCCTGTATACCCCCTCAACGAAATCTAAAATGGTTTCCACCCGCAAACCACCAGGGCCCCAGCATTTTGATGCACAGCCACTTCAATCTTGGATGGTTCAGCTGCATTTTTCCAATATTCGATGGTGTCCACTACTCGCAAGCCAGCACCAACATGTAGGTATACCACCACTAGATGGCCGCTGTCCACTATGCAAGGGGGTATATTTATCTATATATATATATACCACGTCTTGCCGTGGGGGTAGTGGTTTCGGTGTAGTGGAAACCATCTTAGACAAAAGGATGTATTGGGACGGTGGAAGCTGCCTACAGTATAGTGGCAATGCATACTCTTTTTGCTCTGGTGTTGGATAAGCGGGTCAGGCCTTCCGGCGATTTGGGCCAGTGTTGGATGTCCGCCGGGGTCTCAGTGAATTGTCCCGCGACGAATTGTCCACTGCTTTGGCGGGTTTCCATTCAAAATCAAGCAGCCAAAGAGCTTGTTTTTTCTCTGGTCTTGGGATAACTTCCCGGTGATGCAGTGCAGTCCTTCTTTTTGAGTGAGTTCCCTTTTGTGGTTCAAGCAAGTTAACAACCATGTTGCGAGTTTCGGCAAATAAGTTTGTGTGCGCTTCATTTTGACGCTTCTGGACTTCTGGAAGCACAACACCAGGCTCACGAGCGATGCCCGTAAAACGAGCTCACCCATGATGCAGGTCCCTTGCAGTCCCTGGATATTTCGTATTTCCGGTTTCTGAATTTAAAATTTGCCCAGAATGCTGGGACATCCTGGTTGTGGAGGATGGACGTTTAGGCTCTCACTGTTGCCCGTCATAGCATATTCACGCGTATGGACAGCCAACGCGTCTGAGCTAAAACGATTCCCATAATTCTTGCAGTTTCATTGAGGAACTGTTTGTTTGGTGAATTTCATTGGTTTGTGCGGATTGCGTACAGGGTCCACACGGAAACTGACAAGACCCTGGTACCTGGCTTTTGGAGTGGCCCATCTACATAGCCCTCAGCCCTCCTTTGGATGTTGCTGAAATTGACCAAACGGCGCAGCCACCCATTTTCAGGAACATCCATGCGGTTGTGTCGCTCTTCTCGGTGCCATTTTTGGGTTGGTTTTAAGATTTTAAGGGAACCCAAAAGGAAAACCACCAGTTTGGGGTCCACCTAGTTTTGACGCATATCCATACATGTACACTAAAGGTATAGGGGTCTGGGTTGCTTTGTAGATGGTTCTGTAGGTGTCCGCCATTGTGTGCCGCCAGTCCTGTCGAACCAAATGGCGTTTGCCTGAGGTGTGCCCACCAGGGAAGCACAGCCCATCGCCACCTGGCTGCGCAGATTCTACTGACCCTTTGCAAGGGAAGAAAAGTTCCGTTCTAAATAGATGGCGTT